TTGGTCATTGTCCAACTCTCTGATGCATAACAAGTGATTGCAAAGACCATGGCCTGTATCAGATGCACCTTAGTCTCCAGAGAGACACCATTGCTCTTTATCAGTCTGGTGTGGATTTTTTTTTTTCACTTTAGAAGTCAAAGGAGAAATGATGAAAATAATTCTCTGCATGTTTGTAGTATTTTAACAAAAAGACTCATATTATATGGAGCTCCGGTGGCCTAGTGGCAAGAAACTGTGCTGCAATCCAGAAAGCACCCTGTTCGAGGCCACCAACAACAGCTCTGGGGAGAAGAATAGGCCATCTCCTCCCTTTGCTATTAACTGCCTCTGAAAACCCGCCAGAGGGTCAACTATGAGTCCATTCCAACTTAATGGTACATAACAACAATTATTTGGAAGGCTTTTAAATTTTTTTGTGTATGACAGGAAACATAGCAAAACAATGAAATGATGTCTCCATGTATAATTTAGTGGTATTAATGACTTTCTTCAAATTGTATAACCATTCTTGATAAGCTGTTGTTGTGTGCTGTGGAATTACCTGCAAGTCATAACGACCCTATGTACAACAGCCCTAAACCCTGCTCTACCCTGTGCCAATCTTACTGTCTCTGACACACCTACCCCCATTAGCCCAGTAACTGAATCAATCCATCTCATCCAGGATCTTCCTCTCCTGCACTGTCCTTCTATCCTCCCAAGCATAATGTCCCTCTGCAAGGACTGGGCCTACCTTGAAACATGTCCAAAGTATGTCAGACATAGCTTCAGAATCCTTGCCTGCAAGGATCAGCCTGGTTCCATCCTCTCCAGGAAGAACCTGTTCATACTCTTAGCAGTCCATGGTATATTCAATACTCTTTTCCAGCACCACAGCTCAAAGTCATCAATTCTTCTATCATCCCTAGTCATTGTCTAGCTCTCTGAAGCATAGCAAGTGATTACAAAGACCATGGCCTGTATCAGGTGCACCTTAGTCTCCAGACTGACATCAGTGCTCTTCAGTACTTTGGAGGGTCTCTAACAGCAGACTTTTCCATCGCAACGTGTCTTTTAATTTCCTGGCTGCTGGTGCCCAGAATGTTGATTGTGGAGCCAAGCAAACTAATGCTGTGAACAATCTCAGTCTCTTCACCATCTATCATGATGCTTCCAATCAGCCCAGTGGTGAGAATCTTTGTTTTTTTAATACTGAGCCTCAAACCATATTGAAGGCTGCAGTCGTTGACCTTCTGCAGCAAATGTTTCCAGTCCTTCTCAGTTTTAGCAAGCAGAGTTGTGTCATCTGCAAAATGCAGATTGTTGATGAATCTTCCTCCAATCCTGATGCCACACATCTCCTCATAGAGCCCAACCTCCTGGATAGTCTTTTCTTCATATAGATTGAAAAAGTATGGAGATAGGACACATCCCTGGCGTACACCCTTCCCAATTTTGAACCATGCAGTGTTGCCCTGCTCTGTTCTGACGACTGCCTCCTGGTCCAAGTATAGGTTTTGCATTAGCACGATCAAGTATTCTGGGATTCTCATTGTTCTCAGAGTCAGCCACAGTTTGTTGTGATCCACACAGTCAAACACCTTTGCATAATCAATTAAACACAGATAGACATTCCTCTGGCACTCCCTGTTCTCAGCCAAGATCCACCTGACATTAGCTATAATATCCTTAGTACCACAACGCCTTCTATTCCCAGACTGCACTTCTGGCAGTTCTCTTTTGATGTGCTGTTCCAGTCATGTTTGGATGATATCCAGCAGAATCTTGCTTGCATGTGATGTTTTCCTAAATACTCCACCATCTTTAACGTAAACTCAAGCTCCCTAAGCTTATCAAACATTTTGAATTCCATTTTGTCAGTTTGATCCTAAGTAGATCATTCTTTAAAACATATTCAAGGCAGACTGTTTTTTAACTAAGCTAAACTATTATTGGTATGCTTTAAAGCTTACTTAAATGGATATTTTCAGCCAACCACTTCTTTAATGAATTACTTTTTTTCTAGTTATATGAAGCGTGCCGATATCTCGCAGCTCGATGTCATGTAAGTGTGTTCTCAATTTCCTATGTATCTGTAAAAGTTTAGTTTAGGCCTTCATAACTTTGTGAGAATGATTATAATGGAATTAACTGGGCAGGTATATGAAACATTTCATGAAGAAATGCTCTTTTCTTTAGCATTGCTTGTTGTAAAATATTGATTATTGACTAAAAGCTGACATGTATGAAAACATTCTGCCTTAGGCATTTTTTCATTTACGTGAAGACTGGGACCTCTAGATTTCAGAATCTGGAGATAACTCATCTATACATGTTTAATGTTGGAAATCCTGGGTGGTGAATAATATTTCCGTTTTTCAACATAGTATGCTGCTAAAGAGCACCAGCAGGCCCTTGATATCCTCGATATGGAAGAACCAATCAATAAAAGATTATTTGAAAAATATTTGAAGGATGAAAGTGGTTTGAAAGACTCCTCCAGCAATTGGGAAGTGTCACAGTCTTCAGTAAGTAATTTTAAGCTCAACTGTCATTCCTTGCAATAAAAAGAATGCTAGCTTAAGAATTAATCACATTACATAGCAGAAGCAAATAACCTGTTTGTAGTTTAGTATAACCACGTTAGGGAGCTCTAGTAGCTTAGTGATAAGGAGTTGTGCTGTCCACACAAAGACATGTGGTTCGAATCCACCAGCCGCTCCATGGGAATGAGATGGGCAGTCTCCTCCCAATGCTATTTATACCGTCTGAAAACCCACTAGTGGGTCGCGTATGAGTTGGCTCTGACTCAGTGACAGCATAAGCATGTTAAAATAGTATGGTTGTCAACTTACTTGATTTGACCACCAAAAACAAGGAAGATGAGAAAACATTCCTGAGCTATCATTTGAAGCAGTTATATTCGCAACTGCCTGAATCTAAATTAGATCGACCTGACACATTCTTTCTTCTCTTCCATACCTTAAACTGCTCCTTAGATGGAATTCTCTTTCTCTTCTTAACCATGTTTCAACTTTATTTGAAACAGTATTTGGTATTCTCCTGATAATCTTTTTTACTATTTTAACTTGCTTATTCTTCCCAAGAAAGAGTTTAATGTTATTTGCCATGTAATACATTGTTTGCTGTTTTATTTGGTGTATTTCAGTAGTGTACAGTGTATTGGCTTTGAGTATCTGTATGGAGTTGTGCAGTCATTACCACAATCAACTTTTGAACATTTCATTACTCTAAACAAAAACATCATCACATGTCACCACCCTCACCTCCATCCACCCCAGTTTTCATGTCATCCAGGTTATTCTTTATAACATTTTTGTGAGGAAATTTGGTTGTTCTACTTTTTATCTCAAAAGGTGGGAATTCTACACATTCTTGGGTTTTTTATTCCCCCCTTTCCCTTTTTTGGGACTTCTCATCCATTAGTTCAATTGCTAAGAAATATCTCTTCTGCTACAAAATATAGCTGCTTAGTATGACAGCTCAGCTCTGTTTTTGGTAAGGATTATAGTACTGAATTTGAACTATTAACTGCTGAAAAGTCCATAGTTTATTTGTAATACTCTCTTTTTCACAATTCTAAGATCTAGTATTCTCTCCTAAGATCCTCCAATATTTTATAAATTTTGACCTTATAGTGAAACTGCATCCATCTCCTTAATCATTTGTTACCAGTCTTGAATCATCTTTAAATGCAATTTTTTTCTTGAAGTTTAATAATTTTAAGAAAAAAAATTTTTTTTCTTGAGTTTTGAACGTACATAAGATTTTCATGTCTTACCGTTAAAAGCAGTAGTAGTAAGCTAGCTACTGTTTATTGCAGAGCTGTGCTGGCCTAGTAGTAAGAAGTTGCACTGTAGTCCCAAAGGTATGTAGTTCAAATCCACCAGCTGCTCCATGGGAGTTAGTTGTGGATTGGTTCCAATGCAACAAGTACTTTCTCCTTGTTACAGATGAGGAGAAGAAACAGAGGCAAAAGTAGTTAAATAATTTGTCCAGGGTCAGTAGTGAATAACAGATTCAGGATATAAACTCAGGTTTGTCCAATTTCAGAAAGCCACACACTTAACCACTATGCTACATCACCTCCAATTTAATATGTGTTAAGATCCTTTGATCCATTAATGAAATCTATCAATATATCCGTCTTTATGTTTAAATTAGTATGTATCCTCTGCTTGTGATTTCTAAACTAGGGACCAAACAATCTAGTAACAATGGTGTGCCTGTAAATTGTGAAGATTTGTTGGAATCAAGTGATTAGAACTCAGTAAAGATAATTTAGAGAAGCTTTCTATTTTACTTTCTGTCACTAACTCGTGGCTGTTAAGTTGATTCCAACTCATAGTGACACTGTTGGGTTTCTAAGGCTGTAAATCACAACCAGAGATTACCCATTTTTCTCTCTTGAAGCTGCTGGTGGATTCAAGTCACCAGAAACCCTTGACCTTTGGGTTAGTAGTACAGCTTGCTACAGACTGTGACCAGCGCTCCTGTCTTTTTAATGTGTATTGCTTATACAGTACAGGCAGTCCCCAGGTTGTAAACAAGATCTGTTCCTAAGAGAGTCTTTAAGTCAGTTTGTAGGTAAGTTGGAGTAGGTGCCCCTGGTTCTTACTTTGCCTTACCTTAGTGCGAATAAAGGAAGCCTGATGGCATAGTGCCTTAGTGTTTGCCTGCTGATGGAAAGGTCAGTGGTAAAGAGAGGCAGTTTCCTCTCATAAAAGTTTTCAGCCTTGGAGCCCTAATGGAGTGTTGCCAGATGTCAGAATCAACCAATGGCAGCAGGTTAAGTTAGTTCAAGAAAAGTCTAGAAGGCTTTTTTTCCAGTGACTTAAAAGCTACATGTATACCAGGTAAAAATGTTTGTGGTGGAGAATTTGTCGTTGGATAAAGTGTTTGTCTGCTAACCAAAAACAGATGATCAGCAGTTCAAACCCATCAGCTGCTCCATACATAAGAAAAAGATAGGGCAACAATCCTTCTACATGTAAAAAAAGCCTTTCCAGTGTGTCAATAATTGTAAACTTTTTAATGAGAAATGAAGTTTAATAAATATTGGCTTAGTGTGCAACTCCTATTTTTCCAACAGATAAAGAGTTCTATTTGTCTTTTAAGAGGGAAAATCTATGATGCTCTAGATAACCGAACCCTCGCCACCTACAGCTACAAAGAAGCTTTGAAGCTTGATGTGTACTGTTTTGAGGCATTTGATCTATTAACATCACACCACATGTTGACGGCACAAGAAGGTTTGGAAACTAAGATGTTTTTATGTTTAGCATGATTAATAGTGTTTGTAATAGTTTTTTATCTGAAATATGTAGACTCAGTTGCAAACCTATTAAGTCTCTTAATGTATTCTAATATGAAGCAAAATGCATAATCATGAAGTGCTGCTTTGCTAACAAAATCTTTAGGGATGACAAAGTGATCAGGCCATCAGAAGTGATTTGAGGTAGTATATGCCAGCAGTACCACTGTTTTGGTAACTGTCTCCTGACTGTACTTTACATTCTTTGAAGAGCTTTAAAAGTGTATCGCTGTCTAGGCCCCACCTCCAGACCAATTGAATTAGAATCTCTGAAGGTGATCTTTCACATCAGTATGGTTTCTGACTTCCCAGAGATTCTAATGCACAACAGGGGTTGAAAACCACTGAGCCAGATGTTTGCAATGATATTTGAGGGAATAAATGAGAAAACCAGAAAATGTGGTTATATGGAGAGAATTTGAGCATATCTTTACCAAACACAGTCATTTTCAGTGTGGAGTAATTTACACTCTGGGGAACATTTGGTAATGACCGAAGATAGTTTTATTTGTCAGAACTCAAGGACAGGGAAGTGTTCATTTGCTCTAGGCAGCCAGTGAGTATAGACTCCATTCAACATCCTATGTTCAAAAAACATCCCCCTAAAACAGAATTATCTGGCCCCAAATGTCGGTAGTGCTGAGATGAAAAAATTCTGGCCCAGGGGTCCTCCACTCTGACTGAGGATTATAATCACTCAGAAGCTTCTTGCACCACAGTGCTAGAAAAGCTGCTTCAAACCCTCTGGTTGCTCATCTGCAAATGTAAAGACCTAGTTTATCCTGGAATATTTTGATCTTACTTTCTCTTTTGAATTAGATTTACTTAGACAAAGAATGATAGAAGAATATTTTTAATTGCTTGGGTGGTTTTTTGTTTCTCCCATACATATTGTGAGGACATTCTTTTTTTTCTCTCAACATTTTTAAGAAAAAGAACTTCTTGAATCACTACCTCTTAGCAAGCTATGTACTGAAGAACAGGAATTGCTACGTTTTCTTTTTGAAAACAAATTAAAGAAGGTTAGTAAAATCAGAAGTTAATACTTTACGTTATTCCATTAACTTTGATCTCTTTTTCTAGTTCATCGAATATGGTCTTCTATACTGAATTCACATTATTGCTTGGAAGTAGGAATATAACAGGAAGGCTTACTCTGTCTAGGAAAATTCACATTAAAAGAAAATAATTTTTATTAATTTAGTAGATTTGTTAGAATTAGGTTAAATGAAGCATCACATGCCTGGATCTTCCAAAAATGTTTACCTTCCTTCTGAAGATCTCTTATTCTAAAAGGTAGAATTATCTTTGTTTTCTTCATTTTGAGGTATAGTTTGTATGAAAGGTATAGTCTTCAGCATTTGAGCCTGATCCATAAGTGCTAAGAAAACAAAAAGGTGGAATTATCACATAAATAGAAGGTAGTTACATACAAATGAGGATTTCTTAGAGTTCCTGAAATTCAACTTTATAGAATATTTTCCATCATTGAAGTCCTGTGATAAAATTGAGGAGTGTTGAGAGTATTGGTGAAACTTGAGATAAAATGTTTTCAAAGGCTTACACTTGTGCTTTTGTAAATCCTTTAGACATGTGAACCAAGACAAGATTGAATCTGCCTTTGAATTTGTTATTAATCATCTAGTTTACACTTCAATTTCTCTGTGTTTCAGTATAATAAGCCTAGTGAAACCATCATTCCTGAATCTGTAGATGGCCTCCAAGGGAACCTGGATGTGGTAGTGTCTTTAGCTGAAAGACATTATTATAACTGTGATTTTAAAATGTGCTACAAGCTTACTTCAGTGTAAGTATATATATACATATATATATATATATATACACACACACACATTCTTGTGCATAGAATATAAAAGGTATAGTCCACTTTATCTGTGAAATACAAGAGCATATTCTTTGTGAAATCTCTTAGGGCTTGATCATAATTTTACATGCTTTTACCATTTGCACAATGCTGAATACCCTGCTGTCTTCAAAGAGCAATTTATAGACATACGTCATTGCATACTTACAGGTTACTACATTTATTTGGGAAGAATATACAAGTCCTTCTCTCCAATTTTGAGTAATTTGAAAATATAATTTTATCATAGTGTCATAAAAAAAATATACTTTATCAAAACAGAGACTAATGAAATCCAGTAGTTCCTGAGCTAGCAGTTTCAAAGCTAAATCATCTCCTATTCCGTGACTATTATGTGAAGCAGGCTGTTAGCAAAATTATGTATACTGTGTTTTGTGACTCTTTGGGTTTGCTTAAAATTTTTTAAATTACAGACATGATAATTATTAAATCCTAGTGATCTAATTAATATTGCTTAATTTTTTGTTTTTTCAGTTTGTTTTTTTTAATGTGTGGGTTTTTTTTTCTCTTTATGGTTTTTTGTTTGTTAATATTTTTGATCCTTCTATATAACTGGACTACTCACTTCATGTATTGTAATTCTATTGATTTAAAGTAAATGTTTGAGGTAATAAATAACTTTTCATTCTTTCCAAATGAAACAAAATTTTACCTTTCCTTTATAACCTAATATCTTAATTGAGCAAATCTGAAGATGATTGAGTTAAAAAAGTAAAAAGTATTATAACTCATAATAGAGTAATGATGACTTAAATATAACAGCTTTTAATGAGTCCTGTAATATACTGTTTTGGAGTATTAATGCATTGTTTTAATTTTCAGAGTAATGGAAAAAGATCCTTTCCATGCAAATTGTTTACCTGTACATATAGGTACACTTGTGGAACTAAATAAAGCAAATGGTAAGAGTTTGATTTTAAATTAAAATAATTTTTAAACTTAAGAAATAGTAATAACTCTGGAAATTATGGCTCATAAATTCTGGATGATTGATAATATTGGAGTTCCAAAAGAAAAGTAACAAATAGAAGATATACCTAGTAAGGTGACCAACTATCTATTCTTTTATCCAAAATGGTATTTTACTTCTTTATCCTTATTTCATGCCTCTCTTTACAAAAAAATAATTTGTGGTTCAAGGGATGTTCGTTTTAAAGGAAAATATTGATTTCAACTTTACTTTTTACCTTTTTTGTTGGTGTTGTAAATTCAGTGATAAAAACTGTATGGCAGAAATCAGTAACAGTTTAGACATTGGAAGAGAGCTGATTTTTTTTCCTGTGTTTTCATATTTTAACATTTCAGACACATTTAGTTGTGTTTAGGCTGTCACTCACACTTACTCATTGCCTTTGAGCCAGAACAGATTCATGGCTGACCTTCCAGTGGGGTTTTCAGAGGCTGTAATTCACATGATTGGAGAGTGCCCAACTTTCTCCCACAGAACTGATGATAGACTTGAACTGCGGGAGAGATGCTGCCCTTGGGTTAACTATACAACCCCCTGCAGGCTATATTACCTACCAGAGCTCCTTGTTTGTACTGTATTTGCCCTTAAATCTTTTCAAAGAGTTTATTTCCTTTAAACCCAGAATGTCTGCTATTCAGTATGTGCTCTGTGAACCAGCAGCATTGGCATGCTCTGGAAATTTGTTCATAGTATATAGACTTCTACTCCAGGTCGACTGAGTTTATATCTGCATTTTAACGTAATAGCTTTGTTGTTATTGTTTGTTGTGTGCTGTCAAGTTGAACCGACCCATAGCTGACCCTCTAGTGAGTTTTCAGAGGCAGTTAATCACACAGAAGGAGATTCCCCATCCTTCTCCTGTGGAGCAGCTGATGGCTTTGAACCACGTTCCTTTGAGATTGCAATGCCGTTTGGAAAGAACTATTTTAAATTTAGGGTATTGAGTAAGTAATAATAAGAGCTTAAACTCTAGTACTTTTATGTATAGGAAATATGACTATTTCCTATACATTTGTAAAAGGGAAAGAAATAATTTTGTAATTTTAATAAGCATGTATATTTGGCCAACCAAATTATTTATGGATAAGTAAGATAGTCCTTAATAGAGCCATGAAGTAAATAACCTAGATTCTAAGATGGATGAGGAGCTTTGCAATAAGCTCTTAAACCCTATAGAGTACTTTGTTAAATGATGTCTGTTCTCACACTGCAGCCTGTTTGCCATTTATTGTTTCTCAACCCCTCAACAAGTGGTCAGTTCCCCCTCAAAGTCCAGCAACAAGTTATTGGAGACAGTTTGAAACTAAACAGCCATTCTATCTGCCCAGTGGAACTTCTGTAGTCTGTTAAATAAATGGATTTTTTATCTAGAAGAAATAAAAAAACATAAAGTCATTGCTATGAGATTAGAATTTGTTTTAATATAAATGTTATTGTAAAGAGCTGTAATTAGGAAAAGATTATATCTTAACATGCATTTGACATAAATAATTTTCTTTTCTCCTAAATGTAGAACTTTTCTATCTTTCTCATAAATTGGTGGATTTATATCCGAGTAATCCTGTAAGTAATAGAAATCTTTTTTTCTTTACTTTTTCTTAGTATGAGGTTAAGAAAAATTTTATCTAGTAGGTAGCAGCTTATCTTCAAGTTCAAACAGTAATATTCATGTTGGAACAGTTCTTTTAGTGCTTAAAAAATCTAGAAAGTAGCATTAACCTTTTCAATTTGTGATGGTGGGGATTTTTTTAGTACACTGAAGCAATAACTTGAAACAAAATCATTGTTTTCTGCTAATAGAAATTATATATGCTTATTATTTTAGAATGGTTACCATATACAAATATGTAATATTGAAAGTAAAAGTCTTATTCTCATTTTTCATAAGTGATGCTAGTAATTAGTGGCTTTCTTGCATTGCAGATGTAAACTAACTTACTTACAGAATAGTGCACTGATTAAATCAGTGCATCTCCCAAAGTGCTATGATCAGAACTGAGAGCTAGAAATAGAAAATGTAATTAGGATTGACTCTTCAGAGACAAAAATCAAAGGACCAGGGTCTAAATCCTGACAAGTCAGTCATTTGTACACCAGATCATTATGAAATTATAAGAAAGTAAAATCAATAATTGAGAAATCACCTGGATAAGAATCAGAATCCAGAGGCAGAGAAGAAATGTAGAGAGAAAGGACCAACAAATAGTGTTAGTTGGAAGGCCAACACTCAGAGACTTCCTTTCTCAACTATGAAGTCCTCAGGTGCTAAGAGTGTATGATTGAGGGGATGTGTCCTATCTGTCATTTTCTTATGTAACATGCTTAGTGGGCAGTCTATCTCTGAGAGAAATTTCTAGCTTAAACTAAAATGTGTTGCATAAGCTTTTAATCCGCCTTTGATCTGGCTTGATTTGTTAGAGATTTCCATTCAAGACTAGGCATCTTCAGTCATGGTATATTTTAAACATTGTAGGTGTCTTGGTTTGCAGTGGGATGTTACTATCTCATGGTCGGTCATAAAAATGAACATGCCAGAAGATATCTTAGGTAAGGATTTCTTTCTTTTCTTTCTCTTCTCTAGCAAACCTTTAAGAAATACTTTCTTATTCATTTTGCTCAGTGTGGTAATCAGGAAGTGCTTTTGAAGCCCAAAGAAGACCTTTGCCTTATAAGTGGTTACTGTGTTTGCTGTTCCCACCATTCATTAATTAGGTTACAAATGCGTGTGCTGAGGAAATTCTGTCTGGACCACTAATAGATCCATCTACAGTACTTCAAGACATTTTTCCTAGTATCTATTAAAATTTTGCTAGTAAACCATTACATTGAAATGCATTCACATAAATATTATGTTAGTGTTGGTAACTTCTTTATTTAATTATAATGACCTTGAGGCCATCTACTTACTTACAAATGAGCTCAACAAATTAGGGATCAATTCTTCAAATAAACTCTTTTGTTTCAGCAAAGCTACCACACTTGAGAGGACCTACGGGCCTGCCTGGATAGCGTACGGCCACTCGTTTGCAGTTGAGAGTGAACATGACCAGGCCATGGCTGCTTACTTCACAGCTGCCCAGCTAATGAAAGGGTAGGTCACAAACACGGGGACCAAGTCGGGAGAAGGACTGTTCTGCTAAAGATATGAAATTCCGTTATTACTGTTCCTGCCATTTGATTGTTAATTCTCACAAGCATCTTGTCTATTAGCTTATGATTGTTAACCAGCAATAGAAAAATATGAGGGGGCCTTATAAATTAGTTTTCTAGTTTATCTCAACTAATGCATGAAATAGAGCCAAAGAAGAAGAGAAGAATATGTATATTTTTAGAGTCCACCTCATCCAATACAACATCTGGAATTCGTCAGGGATAATTTCTGTTTACTCTCTTATCTATGTATGGGTTATTTTTTTAAAATATTATTAATTTCAATGAACATTTACAGAGATTTTAGATTTCTATTCATTGATTGCTGCATTTTTCTCCCCACCGACCCCTCCCCCAAGCTCGCTCTTCTCTTTGAAAAGTAAAATAAAAATTCCTTCATTGGTATACAATGCCCCCGCCCCACACACAACTACACTCCACTATGCAACCTTCATTCTGGACTCCTGTCATAACCATAATACCCAATCATATATCACTTTTAAACTGTATGGGTTATTCTTGTCTGCCTATTTCCTTCTATATTCTATTTTTTGTTTGTGTGGGGGTTTTTTTTGGTTTGTTTTTTAGTTTAAAACTGCACTTTAAAAATATAAATATGACTACTATAGCAGTGAGGGAGCTCTGCTAAGAAGCTAGTGCTGCAGTCCCAAAGGTTCTGATTCACCAGCAGCTCCACAGGAGAAGGATGGCTGGTTTCCTTCCGTGCGATTAACTGCCTCTGAAAACCTCGTGGAGGGTCTGCTATGGGTGAATTCCAACTTGATGGCGCTTAACAACAACTATAGCAATCAGGGAGTTTCGGTGGCTTAATTGTCGAGACTTACACTGCTAATACAAAGGCCCATGGTTCTTATCCATGAGCTATTCATGGGAGAAAGATGGGCAGTCTCTTCCTGTATGATTTATTGCTTCTGAAAATCCACTGGAGGGTCAGCTATGGGTGATTCTGACTCTACAGCACACCATGATAGCAACAACTAGCGAAATCAGATTCTCCTCGCTTCCTAGGATGTGTCGCGCTGCTGTTTTGTTTTTGAGTGGCTATCATAGACTAATTCTCTAAAGTTGTCAGTCTATTTCATGTGCAACACTCAAGTTTCTGCTCACTTAACTTAATGACCAGCTTAGTTAAGTCAGCAGTTCCCTTAAATGCCTGGGATAAAAATGCTCCAACATTTTTACAAGGAGCTCTGTGTCCTCACTAGAGAATACCTTCAGCACTCAATCCAACATTTTACAATACTGCCATGGCCTTCATTTCCTGTTTGCTCAGGGTGCATGTTATCTTTCTAGATTTTAACATGAAACTTCACAAAATCTCTTATAAACATTTTATTTCCCATATTTTCCTGTTTTTTGCTCATGCTTTTCTGTGTGGATATGTTTATAAATATAGACACACATATTCCCCTCAGGCAATTGCAGTTGTTAAACAGTTTCCACCTGTTTTCAGCAGGTACCAAGTAAAAACTAACTCATAGCTGACCCTCCAGCAGGTTTTCAGAGGCTGTAAATTGCACGGGAGAAAATGGCCCATCTTTCTCCCTTGGAGTAGCTAGTAGATTAGAACTGCCTGCCTTTGATTTGCAGTGCTAATTAGCACAGCAGGTCCTTAACACTTGACCATGAAAGCTCCCTAGATATCCTAGAGATAGAACTTCTCTTAATTGAGTCAACTGAAAGAAAGAAAAGTCCTATAAATGGGAATTTTCAAAGGAGCTACCAGACCAAGAAAAGGGCAGTGATTCTCTGAGAACTAAGGTTTTTTTGGGTGGATTAAATGCCAAACTCATTCTTCTCTCACCAGTGGCTGCTGGGGTTGCTGGTTTTCAAAGCTCTCATTGATCTGGGGAGACTGAATAGGAATGAAGCAAGTAAAACCACAAATTTGCTAATGAAGCAAATAAAACCACTAATATATGTTATTCTTAAGGAGATTTGGCCAATTTTCTTTATTAAATTATATTTGAAATACCAAAAAATGAATTTTCACAGTCTTTGTCAGAGTCTCATTTTTAGAGAGGAATGGATTTTTGGAAGTCTTTTTTTTTTTTTTGGAAGTCTTTAATCTACCATTTAGAAGTGCTTTTGAGGGAGCTCTGCTCTGGTGGCCTAGTGGCAAGAAGCTGCACTGAAATCCCAGAAGTACACAGTTCAGAACCACCAGATGCTCTGCTGGAGAAGGAGGGACAATCTCTTCTTGTACCAGTCTGGTCCAGTTTGATGGTACACGCACAAAAAAAGATGTGCTTTTGCTGGCTAAATATTTTTTAGAGGTACTTTATGATTTTTCTATAGATGATAGAATTTTTATTTTTCTTGTGGCGTTATGCACAGCCAAACACATTCATTCACAGTTTCTTACACGTGCAGTTCAATGGCATTGACTGCATACTTCACAATGTGTCACTATTCTCACTGTCTACACCTGTATTGTTATTCTTAGGTGCTGTCAAGTCAGAACCAACTCATAGCTGAGCCGCTAGCGGGTTTTCAGAAGTTTGTAAATTATGCCAGGCGATTGCCTATCTTTCTCTCAGAGAACAGCTGATGGATTTGGAATCAGCAGTGCGACTCCTTAGCGCTAAGACACTAGAGCTTCCCCATATTGTTGTTTCACTGTTTATTTAGACTTTCTGCCTCTTCAAGTTCTCATCTGTGCTTTAATTCTTGTCAGTTTGAGCTCAGAGGTCATTCCAGATAATAGCTCAGTGCTCAAGGCAAACATTCATTATTAATTGAGTTAAACTACTCTTTAATTTAATAGACCACCAGAGCTCCTTGATGACTTCATAGGATAGTTTTGATTCAAGATTTATTTCCAAAAATAATAATTTCCAAAATTATTTCCAGCCAGACTTTCCCACTCCCTAGCTCAATGGATCCCATGAAACTAGTTTGCGTATGAGATTGGAGTTTTGTTCCCTTTTTAATTTCTCCTTTTTATTAGGATCTGTATGTTGGGTACTTGATCTAAATTTTTAATAATGATAGTTAATGCCATGGCAGAGGAAGTTCATGAAAGGAATGAAACCTGTCATCCATTTCCTTCTCTGATTCCTGGATCTACTTTTTCTATTGTTCAAGGCAAACAGAGCAGTTAATTGGGTAGACTCATGAAGCCACAACGTTAAATCTTTGAATGAAGAAAATAAATCCCATAAGGTGTTTAGTTACCTTAGTAGTATCAACAGGTGCAGGGTTTTGGAGGGAGAAGGGGAGGCATGAGAGGTGCAAGGAGGTAGTTCTTGTAATGGTAAGATTATAGAAAACACTTTTTCCCATTTTAGGTTTTTTTAAATGAAAGTTTACAGAAAGGTTTAGTTTTCCTTCATTCATTCATTGTTGCACATTTTCATACTTATTCTTTCCTGGTCCACAGCTTAGTGATAACGGATACGTTAGTCAAATTATGTAACCATTATTACCCTTTCTTTAGGCCATGTCAGTTTTCCCGTCAATGTAGAGAAAATTTCACTACTCAGAGTGGACTGTGTGTGTTCCACTCTACTTTCTCCTTCCTACACATTGTAACTTGTAAATATTTGGACCTTAATTTGAGTTTAACCCTCAATTAGAATCAAAGTGTGTAACAACCATTAAGTAATTGTTTATTGACATGCTTAAATCCATTATCAAAGAAAGATTGTCTTATGACACTTGCTTTAATACCATCACTGACGCAATAGTGTGAGCAGAAGATTGAATTAAAAGTGGTTGGTCCTGGGGAGCTAGTGGCAAGAAGCTGCACTGCAGTCCCAGAGAAGCATGGTTCAAATCCACCAGATGCTCTGCCAGGAAAGGAGGGACAATCTCCTCCTGTACCAGTCAGATCTGATCTGACGGTACACAGATACACACACACAAAATAATAATAATAAAAAAGTAAAAAAAAACATTTAAAAAAAAGTGTTTAGTTCTTATTCTGAATCTTGAGTTGTTCTGTAGGGTAGAAAAATGGAGTTGATAAATAGGACAGAGTTATTCAGGGTTCAACGGGAACTGATTATCATGAGAATTTACAAAAGGGAGAGTCAGTTTAAGCTAGCAGTCAGTTTCATAAAGGGAAGGAATGCTTGAAAACAAACTTGGAAGATAAAGTCCTGCTGAATAAATACAGAAGAAGGGAGGAGAGAGTTTAAACTAGTGGTACATTAGCATCAGGAGAGAAATGCCATACCATAAGTAGGTTGGCCGTTTTGCTTTAGTGACATTTAAAAATTTAACTTATAGAATGAAGAAATGGGAAAGTAAGTTATAGAATAAAGTAATTAATCTAACATATGTTATTGTTGTTTTTGTTAAGTGTCATCGAGTTGTAGACAACTCATAGCAACCATATGAACGAAAGACCTAAACACTTGTGTAACTTTCATTGTTTCTCCAAGTTCATAGAGTTTCCGGAGGCAAGCTATTTCGGAAGTGGATGCCACTCCTCCTTCCAAGCTTGTTTTAGTCAGGGAGCTCCTCCAAACACTGTCCACCATGGGTAACCATTCTCACACTTGACACAACAGTGTCAGTGTTTAACATCACAGCAACCACAAGTTACCTCTGTACAGCAATGGACAGACCACTGCTATATGACCTAGAAAAATGCTTGACCAAAAACAGAATCAGGCCTGAGGGCCGCAGATTAAAATCACGTAACTTATCTGTCTAGTTGTTATTGTTGTTAATCTAACATTTAGGTTAGAATAAAAACCCATTTGTTACTGTTGTTATTATTGTTATGTGCCATTGGCGACCCTGTGTACAGCAGCTCTGAAGCCTGTCCTGTCCTGAACCTGTCTCATTGACTCCCACACACCAACCCTCATTGCCCCAGTTACTGTATCAAAATATCTCATCCGGGGTCTTTCTCTCCTGTGCCATCCCTTCACTCGTCCAAGCATGATGTCCTTCTACAAGGACTGGTCCCTCCTGGCCTTGTGCCCAAAGAATGTGAGAAGCAGCTTCAAACTCTGAGCCTCCATTAGGCACTCCTTCAATGTCAATAAATGAAAAAAATATTTGTTGCAAAAGTATGTTTAAACTATTTGCAGAAAGGGTTTGAAATTGATTGTCTGCTGAATTACAGTTTCAAAATAGAAAATTGTTGAAAATGTAAAAATTTGTTACTATTTTAGGTGTCATTTGCCAATGCTGTATATTGGATTGGAATATGGCTTAACCAATAACTCAAAATTAGCTGAAAGATTCTTTAGCCAAGCGCTAAGCATTGCACCTGAAGATCCTTTTGTTATGCATGAGGTTGGTGTTGTTGCATTTCAAAATGGAGAGTAAGTACCAAACACTATTGTTCTTTTTTTGTTAAATAGAATAAAATTTCATTACTTGATTTCAACTGATAAAACTGACTTTAAAGTAGGTTTTTATTCTGTTTTAAAACATAAGAGTTTTTGTTTTAAAATCCTTACATTTCTTTAAAAATGTTAAATGAAAAAAAAATATTAAATGTAGGTTTGAGTCCCCCTTTCATCTAGGTTACCATAATCTCTTAATTACTGTTGGACAGATGATCTTTTTTCAAACCATTGGTGTCCACCCATGTGGCCTTGAAACACTGCAGTGTTCATTATCATCTTTGTATAGGATTGAAACTGAAGTAATACAAACACTGCAGTGTTCATTATCATCTTTGTATAGGATTGAAACTGAAGTAATACATTTAAGAAAATTTCTCCAAAAATTTTAAATAAAAATCATGAAAACCTGTAAAAATTTTAGCCTGTATAAAAAGTTAAAAATAAAAATTTAGCCTGTGTAAGGTAGAAATCTGTCTAGAGAGGAATAGGCAATTGTCTGACACTAAAACAAGAGTACAAAAAAGAAATGTATAAAAAGATTGTAGACAGTGTTTGGAAAACTGAGTTTGACCTCTACTAAAACTCCGTAAGGGAGAACTGCTCTCACCAACAGCATCCATAATACAAAACCAATTCCCATATGGTCAGGCATGCCCCCACTCCATGTTCCCACACCCCTTTCTACTAATTCCAGCACCAAACACACTGCCCTACTGCAGTAGCTACAGACTTCATAGAAACATACCCACAAGTATGGGATTTATTAGGGAAGTTAACAGGTTAGAACAGGATACAATCTCTTGGTCAGGACAGCTTCTGAAATATGCTCAAAGGCCCCTCCACCTTCAGACTCTTGGCTTTAGGCCAATATTACAAAGTTCTCTTAGCCCTCTAACAAGCTACTCTCAGTCCTCTAACAGGCTTAGGTGAAGGCTCCTAGTTTTGTTCTCATGGAGTGGGGGTCCCAGGGTCCACTCTGTCTCATCTAAAATCTCGAGTTCAGGGAAGAAATGGCGCATGCACCTGTTGATGCTGTAGGCAGCCACATACTGGTAGGGAAGTCAGAGTTGAGGCAGCTCAATCAGGCTAGAAGCCTTGTCCCAGGTGAGCGGAAAGAGAGCGAATGTTCCAGATGCATACTCTTTATAGGAGTGCTGAGTTTCAGACCACACCCTCAAGGGAACTAAGGGTGATGATTTGGGTCTTGATTCAGGTAGGCTGGAACCTCAGGATGGATTCATTCTATTTGGATGTTCCTGCCTGTCCATCTGGCAAGGCCAAAGAAAGTGGACTAGGAAAGGCATTTTGAGTCATAGTCCCATTACATCGCACCATGAAAGGTGAAAAACTCAAAAGACCTAGAATAATAAGTAAATCCTTTGTTATTAAGCTCTAGATCTCACCGGTTTCACTGTACAAGTAGTTCTTAATGTACAGTGTATTTTAATTATGACAAACCATGTTTAGACCATCTCTTTGAATTGGTTTTGGGGATTTTATTGTTTGTTTTGATCCATCTTATTATATGTGCTACATACATGCAGCATTACAATGTCTAATTTGCTGATATTGACATTCTCAGATAAGGCTACCAACCCCAAAGATAAATAAATATCAGATTTATAAAATACTGATAATGAAAGGCAATAAATAATGAAAATGAGGGGGGAAATGAAGTATTTGACTGTGTTAGAACTCATTTGTAAGTCACAAACTATCAAACATTCTGTGTTTTATGTTTCATTAGAACTGTTTTATGTTTCAGTTAGAACTTAAACTAATTCTAATGATCTGATGTGAATGTCTTGTTTAATTGAAGCTTTATTATAGCTTTGGGTGTTTTATAAAATAAGTAATTCAGTATTATATGCAAGACAAATACATATATATTCTTTTGCATTAAAGTATAAGCAAGCGGACACTTTTCCAGTGTTTATGTGGTTTGTATTTTCTAAAAAAATTTACTTCTGTAGGTATTTTTTTTAAAAAAAAAGTTTGAAGCTTTTTGGTTTTATATTTGATATTGCCTAAGACCTTAAGCCATTGTGATGTGAATACTATAAAATTAATCTGTATCTGACTTAATTGTGAATTTGAGCCAACTTGTACCAAAAGAGTTTATCCCATTTCAATTTAGTTCATATTTGAAAGAGACTTTCAGATTCTTCTTAAATGTTTCTGATTGCTTATTTTTAATAACTGGCAACCTTTCCCTCCATTTTAGCTGGAAAACAGCAGAAAAATGGTTCCTTGATGCTTTGGAAAAAATTAAAGCAATTGGGAATGAGGTATTTTATGTTTATTTTTATAAATATATCTTTTTGTGTGTGTGTGAATAAAACCAAAACCAAACTTTAATGTGGGAAAGATAAATGTCTCGTGAGTTTTACATTTCTGTTTTGAAAAATGGAAGCCCTGCAAATTGAGATACAGATAGCTGGCACGATAGTTAGGCACTGGACTGTTAATCAAAGGGTCAATGGTTCACACCCACCAGCTGCTTGACTGGGAAAAAAATGTGGCAATCTGCTTCCATAAAGATTACAGCTGTGAAAGCAAATTGGAGTCAATTGGACAGCAACTAATAACAACAAAAGTTGACTGGATGATAATTAACAACAACCCCTGTAAGCCAGAATGGCCCTGGTCTACAGTTTCATTTTATGATCCCTGGATTGAGGCCTGACAAGAGCCATTGAGGGCAGTTTTGCTTTATCTTTTTTTTTTTTTTT